AATCATCAAGATCACTGAGTGTGTCATGATATACTAAATATATACTAGAATTTCTTGTAATGCCATGTATCTTAGTGTTCAGAAAATGTTACATCCTTTCAAAAGTCCATATAGGAGGATCATCTGCAGCGATCGTGGAAACTTGACATAATAAAAATACGAAGAAGTAATGTACTCTACGCGGAGTAATGACAATATCAAGAAGCCATATTTGGAGTTGGATTCTTGACTGTTACATTACAAGTTCCTTATAGTAAGACCCTTAGGGGTCAGCATATCCAGGGTGCCACGTAACTTGGGGTAAAAATCCTACATAAAACCCTTGTCTATTAAAACATATTATGAAGCAGAGATCTTTCTAGTTGCATTTGGATTGTTAAAGTTACAGTGAAGTCCCGCTGACATTTTGGTTCCCACCAGCACACAGGAGTGGATGAGGCCTGCAGTCAACTCCCTGACCTTTTGCCAATATTTGCAGTGTGAGGCTTTTCCCCACGTTTGTTTCCCGTGGGAGTAGATACCTCCTATCCAACTAATTCATCTAGTATATAGTACACACAAAAAAAGAATATCCAAGTTAAATAACAGTACTGGTTTTAACCAGTTAATGTGAAAGGAAATTGTAATCAACACAAATATTCTTGAAATGTCAGATAGGTTTCATTAACTCAGCACACAGGTATTTTGATGTTGGTTTATTGATCATTACATGGTGACCAGACATTGAAGATTCTTATGAGATACTCAACAAAGAAATAAACAAGCAAAGCAAAAAATTCAGTTCATCTAATCTTCTGGAAATTGAGCAAATTATGGATACAACCAGTAATTGTTAAAAGCTTTATGAAAAAAGGAGTTTACTGTTTTTAGAGTATGAAATTATTGATTCAACAGTACTACGTATTTCTGATATGTTAATACTGTTTTGTTGTGTTGTTGATAATCACTCTTTGGGTGTTTTGGAATCATCACCAACATGCCAAGTTAAGCTGCATGTATGTACATTTGACATGTAATTTACAGCTATTTCTAGAAAGGTTGTCGGAAAAAGTGCACGCGACAATCCCGAAAGGTACTGTGGGTGATTTTGAGGTCACTGTTCTTCAAAGAAAGTCAAGATAGAACGGCACGCGAGGCCATGGACATATGTCAGGGGCACCCAACGGCAATTTTCGGAAAAATATCTGTTCGGAAGACGATTTGAGAGCTAGAATTTTCGGAACATTTGTTGTAAAATTTCTTGCTTGCCTGCTTCTCCTAGGATTTTCGAACATCTAAAATATGGTATAATTGCTTATTTTTAACGGATTTTTACTCTAAAAAGGTCACCTAGAATTTTCGGGAGCCTTTTTTCTGGCTGAAATTTGCGAAAAGGTAAGTTTTGATCCCTATAATTTTCGGATCACTAAACTTTCAGCTAGGAAATCCGAACAGATGAAACATTTTTAGGGGATAAAAATATGCCTATATAGAGAATACTTCATGGAAAGTGCTGGCGTACGGTATTTACGCACGAGTTGTTGACGTATCAGAAATCGAACGAGTGAGCGCAGCGAACGAGTAAGATTTCTGATACAAAAACAACGAGTGCGTAAATACCGTACAAAGCACTTTCCATGTGGTATTGTGTTTATTATATACATACTGAGTCATTCATCATTTTGCGGGCCTTTTTATTTTAAATCTTTCAAAAATGCTAAAATTTGCCGCTACACACTTACCGCAAAATGACAACGAAAACGAAGTATCAGCTTTTTAGTAAAAACGTTTGTTAAAAACATAAATGACGGTGAGGATATGAGGTTTAATCCAAGAACTATAAGTAATCTTAACTGTTTGTTCTCAATGCACAATTGAAAATGAGTGAATTTAAGTAAAATGGCCGGTTTCAATATAAGCTTAAGCTTAAATGAAAGGCAAAGTAGCTCCGACAAAAAGCACAACAAAAAAGCTTACGTCTCGTTCTGTTTATCCCTTTCCGCTGTTGTTTCACCGGCTCTCTACCGTATTTTTTTATCGACAGTGAAACAAACGAAACTATTCCACTCCATTTCCGAAATGTTTTTCACTTTTTTAGCGAGAAAAACTCCTTGAGTAAAACTTTTCTCGTTGATAAATGTGTGGGAAGCGGCGCTGCAAGCTGCAATAAAAGGCGGGAATTTTGGCGCGAAACTCCTACACCTCTGTGGCTTCTGATTGGACGTATCATTTTTCTCACACGTGAAAAAACATCGTTCGCGATTCTGATTGGACGTATCGTTTTTTTCACGTGTGAAAACCATCGTTCGCTCCTCTGATTGGCTATAACTAATTTGCGTACGAAAATTTACGACATAGCTTTTTGGTGAGTATTTCTCAGTATGTATATAATAAATCTACTGTTTAAATACCAAAATACCTTTAACAATGCTATGTTTTAGTGGTTTTGAACTATATTCTCGTTGGGTGCCCCTGATATGTTTGCGAGTGCTAAAGGAAAGCAACAAAAGTAGGTTCGACAGCTACAAAGTCAGGAACAGAGTATTGATCATATCCCATATTACCTTTCGGGATTGTCGCGTGCACATTTTTTCCGACAACCTTTCTCGAAATAGCTGTATACAGATCACTGACATTACTTCACAAACTGTAAACTACTTTAATTATGCTCCACTTGTGTCTTAACTGCTTAGTTGCACCTGTGGTTCAGTAATATCATCACCTTGCAACTCCCTTTCATGGGACTGATTGGAGAACCATCAGGGGCATGAGGATTTATTTCTATATGTTCATATCTAGAATTATATTAATGTTATAGATTCACAGGCTAGTACACCAATGAAATGGATATTCTAGATTATTCTGTTTATTAATTCAATCAGTAACATCAATTGATCAAATGCATTCTTCGCTATCATAGGTTAACGATGATTTTTATGAAGATCAACAACCTAATGTGACCAGAGAAATCATCAACCTGTTTGGTCTAGACTGAAGCTTCCAACTGAAATGCTATGGTGTTGGCACCAAAATTCTCGGACACTTCTGAAAACCTTTATGAAGACAAGAAAACAATTTTATTATTACTGTTAATGTTGCTGATGGACTATATATATCATGCGAAAGTTGTGAATATGCTTGTATCATAATAATATAGCATGCATGTAGCTTAATTGAATTCATTATTTGCTATATCTGAGCATGCCAGTCTACACGTATAAAATATTAATGTTTATATTCAGAAAAATTAGCATGCATGTACTTTTGTAATGTATTTTTGTAATGAAAGATCATTTCCTGTTATCAAAGAGGGTGGAGTTTTTAAAAAAGTTTTCATCAATTTAAAAAAGAAGCCATATATTTTGTGTAGTTCTTAATAGCTGGTACAGCAATAAAAAAAGACACAAAGAATTAACCAACACATACCCTTTGGTTACTGACGTCAGTAGGTCAGAGTCCAATAGAAAGGCCAGCTAGGGTTGTCCCAAAGCCAGCAAGGGTGCTGTCTGACACGTAGTGTTGAAAGTGGGATGGGGAAAGGATAGACCACTAAATACCTGTAAACCTTTATTGTAACAAACAAGAAATTTGTAATAATAATAATAATAATAATAATAATAAGATGCCCAAATGCATAAACCCAGCCTTTTTTTAGTTCATAAAATGATAGAGCGCCAGGGGAAAATGTGCACTATGTGATAATGCACTATTGGCCATATGAACTTTGATGATGAATAAATGGAACATACTACCAGCTAGCATTTCAGACTGGAAAGACTCAAACGTTCCAAAGGGGTGTACTTGACTACGACTGCATAATACTTCAAAGTAGTGTTGCAGTAGTTTTCTTTTTCTTTAAATTAGCATGAGATTCAGTCACAATCTTGGGTAGTAAATTAATACTTTGAGGGAAAAAAACTTTGAAATAACACCCTATATGAAGAGAAAGAGAACATAATGGTTGGAATAATTATGTAAGGATTTTAAATTTGTTTTGGTTGCTGAAGTGATTATTGCACATGCTAAATTACTACAAAGCAGTAAAAAACCCAGATCTTCCCATGAGTAAGATCTTTATTCATATTGTTGTCACTCTGATACAGGTACGGCAAAGAAATAGTAAAATACATAAAACCTCATTTATGGCAATCGTTTTTGCCAGTCCCTTGGCCCTTTGTTATAAATTATCGAGGTTCCATTGTATCACTAAGTAAAAAAACTATTACCTGCTAGCAGGCCAGGTCTGACTTGCTGCTCTTATGTAGCTTCAACAAGTATTCTAGACACTTACAGGCACGCACTAATTCCCCTCTCATAGCAATTTTTATTTGGGTTAGGGCAAATACAATTTATACAATTTGCTTAATAAGACAAGAAAAGGCAAATTTTTCCAAAATGTTTGGAAGCAAAATAAAAATAATTATTAGTATAGTTACTGTAAGACTTATTTTCTCAAGGAGGAAGTTGTAAGTTTAAAATCACACTACAAATGCCAGTAATTAATCTTTTCTTCACAAATACCATTAACATTCAACTCTCTCTAACATGCATACAACTTTGCCTGGCAGCAATATCTGTTTCAGAGAATTGTCCAGTCGTGAACAGTTAAAACCAACTCTAGGTGCCTATCTTATAGTTGACTGTAGTCTACGGTTTCTTTTAAAAAGCTGACTGGTACACTTACCAAACACAAATATCAAGACAGCCAACATATAAGTCTCGGATCGTAACGTTTGTGATCCAGGCCTAATTTAGAAGGATTTATTTGGAGTCATCTGGGCATAACGCTGCTCACGTCCCCCACCCCTCCCCCGCCCATCCCCACCAATGTGCACTAACAAGTTAATTTGGGGCAAGGGGGCATTTTCACTTTGTTCTTTCTGAATATGCTACCCAATTTGACCACTCAAGAAAATATCATAACATACCATAATACTCTTTGTTTGTCACCCCAAAATTTTGCATAAGCATTGCCTTCAGTTTCTCAAGAGAAACTGGAAACAATGCTTATTCAAATTTTCGGGGTGACAAATAAAGAGCATTATGGTATGTTATGGTATTTTCTGGAGTGGTCAATCCCATAATTTCACAAATCTAGCTTTTTTGATGTCATCACTTCCCTTCTTTAAACAAATTAATTTTACATGAAGTACCTGACACAAAGAACTGCCTTTTTTTAACAAGTTTCCTTCAAATGGTAACAGCAGAGGTATTTCATATTAAAGACCAGGGCCCGGTTGTTCAAACATTGGATATTGCTATCCACCAGATAAATCACTATCTAGCAGATAAGTATTACAGGAAACAATTGCACGGCTATCCACTGGATAGAGATTTATCCACTGGATAGTGTTATTCACCTTATGAACTACTGGAGCGAGAAGTTAAAATTTTACAGTATATCTCTCATTCCAAGTGTAAATAACTCACCATACAAGCAATATTGGGGTACAGTCATATCAGAAATAGAGACAAAATAAAATTTTCACTGCTTAATTTTTTTTTCCTGTGACCAACCTTAATAGATATCCATTTACCATTATATTTAGCTGGTCACTGATGCTTAGCCTGTTCAGCTGGCAGGATTGTTATGCGCAGGGTACTTTCTTGAGTTGCATGGGATTTTCATGAGTGGCATTCTCACGGCTCTGCCACCAAATAACAACAGCCCTTGCCTGCTAATCCTGCCAACTACGCAGGCTATAGGCACTCAATGGGCTCCCTATAAAAGTCTTCCAAGTACAGATAAAAACTGACCAGTGTATGCCCATGACTTAACCACTAGCTCTAAAATAGTTACTGGTTTGACAGAGTGACGTACAAACACATGCTTCCAACATGAAAATCTGACTTGAACTAACCCAGCAAGCAGCTAATTCTTAAACGGGCAGTTCACAAATACAGTAGAAATAAATTTATTCCTTTAAGGAACTGACAGCACACTCAAGCACAAACTTTGCCAAAATCAATGTTCTTGAAACTACAAGGGAAGAATGTCCAGTACTAGACAAATTTCCAAGTTTGTTTATACAGTTAGGACACAGGACACCCAAGCCACATCTCACACATTTCAGTGGATACCTGTTTCAAAAGGCTCCAGTTACAGTGATTCCTTAAAGTAACTCCCAGTGGTGTCTGTTGATAATATATTTTTCAACTGCTTCCCTACGTGTGTTGTGTTTACTTTTTCCAAACAGACAATTTGGTACAGGATTAAGATTCTACAGGACACTTCTTTTTAAACTGCTTCAAGTATAACTACTAACCATAGTCTCTCCAACGGAGTCTGTTGGAGAGACTATGTACTAACTAAAGGTTATGTACAAAACTACACCTCAATTTCTTTTGTATACAAATCTTCAATTGGTTTGAGTATAAATAAATTAAATGTATTGAACGATTATTAAAATTATATTGATACAACTTTTAACTAAATTTGATATAAATATCCTCTACAAAGAGGTTAAGATTTTCCTTTTCCCTTAAGACATTTTCGACAAATGCGCAGCATTTCACCAGGATTTGCCTGTTCTGTAAACAAAGGCTTGATATGACTTGGTGCATTGCCTCTCATGAAACACCTGTATGACTTCACTACCTTTTGATTGCATCCTGGACACTTAATTGGGATTTGATTTCTCCTTGTCATAGAATGGCCTTTGCCTATGGAAACAAACACAAACATTGCATGTTTCTATTTTTCCAAAATGTAAAACAACTATTAACCCTTTAAGCCCCAATATCCACGTACAAATTGTCCAAACTGATCTCCATACATTTTCCTTTTTAAGAATGTGTTGAGAAAATTTGATAAAAGATTAAGGCATTTTCTCTTTAGTGATCATTTTTATTAATTCTCATAACCTAATCTTTTGACAATGTATGGATATCATTAGGAGAAAATTGATCTTGGTCACTGCTGGGAGTTAAAGGGTTAAACAAGACATAGGAGCAACTAAGGAAGGTATTGGCCACCTCTGATGCAGAACATTGTCATCTTTTTCAATACTCTCTGGCAGATCACTAGGGCATTGAAAACCTTTGTCATTACACTATGCAAAAACCCCTGTTTGGACGTTGAGAAACTCTGAATCATTACCCTGAGACGAAAGCCTTGCCTAGTCTGTGTCCAGCATCTTCCAATGCCTTCTCATATCTGAGACATGCTAAAAAACTCATTTAGACCATGTCACCCCAAATGCATAGACAGCACGGAATAATCGAGCCTAAGGACCAGGCAAAGGGATCTCTACGGCACTGACTACCTTCTGGGGTATATTGAATAAAAACACACCATCAAGCATATCTGGAGTGCAAGGATTAAGTTTAATATGACAAGATTTAAATAGGGATTTTAAAACAAATTATGTGAAGGGGAAACCCCTGACTGTAAAGGTAAATAAAACAGATATTGGCTGACTCTGTTGCAGAGTGTTATTAGGAAACCTCCGTGTCACTGTCCTGACACAACTGCCGAGATGTCAAGGGTATTCTTTACCAGAAAACCCTATGGTACTGGCAACCCTCTTGTGTCATTACAACTTAGGAGCCATTGTTTCTTTGACTCAATTTGTCCACAAGTTTTGCATGTGAACTCTAAAACGTTCAGTTCAAATAAATGAAACTGTAAAGAGTTCTTTTTGTGCTAGTCTAGATCCACTTGTTTAGTGGTGCTTTTGCATCACATCTGACCAGACAAAGTTTTATGAGTGAATATCCATGCTATTTTTGAGCTAAAGAAATAAAAGCCTAAAATTCTATCTCACCTTTGCCACTAGAAACTTCCTCATTGCTAACTTTGGTAGCAGAGCCATTCTGAGAAGATTCAGCAGATTTTCTGGACATCTTTTCCAGCAGGGCAGCAACAGCACGTCTCTTGCTTCCCACTGCAGAATCAATTTCTGCCTTTTTCTCACCTTCTGACTCAGAAAATGACGCCAGTCTTTTCCGTGTCATTACAGTCGGGACTATCTGTTTATAATCCTCACGCTTTTTGTCAGGAGTTCCCGAGCTCCTTCCTCTCCTGGGTGATGAAACTTCAGCAGGTTTCATTTCTCTTGCTCTCACTGGAGACCTTGAAGATGACCTTGTTTCTCTCACTTTCACCCCTTCTGCAATACTTTTACATGCAGCAACTCTTTCTACTTTTTCATCTGTTTTCTTCTCCTCGCTGCTCTTTGATTCGGATTTGGTACTTTCTCCTTGCTCAAGCAATGAAACCTCACTTTCCTTGACATCACCTCCCATTTCTTCAGTTGCAGCACTTGTGCTTTTTTCTATCAATTCTTGCTCAACATCTTCCTTCTGCGTCTGAGAACTGATTTTTACATCATTTGATGTCATTGAATTTGCATCACTTGACGTCACTTGTTTTAAAGCACTAATTTTGGGTCTGTCTTCAGCTTTTTCATTTAATTCTTTTTCTGGAGTGTCCTCTGATACAGTTTCATTGGACAGTGACACTGGCTCTACTGACTTGGTTTTAACCTTATTTAGACCAATCATAGATTTCATTGATTGTGTACCAAAGTCAACTTTAGCTGCTTTGGGCTTATTTTCTGCAGAGTGTTCACTGGCAACTGAGCTGTCTTTAACTTTTTCCACTGTATTAATCCCCCTGTCACTTTTCTGTCCAGAGCTCTTGACCAAGGTTGACAAGACTTTAGCACTTGTATTAACATTTTTGGGACTGACTGATTTTCCACCTTCCAACTTGGTTTCCTCTTTAGGTGGAATGATAAGCTTACCCATTACAACTTGAATAGGTTTGGTATTTGCAAGCTTAACATCTTTGGCCATGGGTACTTTTGAGGCAGGTAATTTCTTTGTTTGCATGACAATAAACTGCTTTTTGGTAGGGGAAACTTTTGCTTTATCCTCCTTGATTCCATCCTTCTGCTTTTTATCATCTTTTGAAGGTGACTTCACAGCTGGGACTTTCTTCTCATTCATCTTTCCAGAGTTAGCTTTACTAGTCGACTTAGCATTTTTAACCAGCTTTGCACTTTTGATCTTGGCAAGTTTCCCCTTGACTGCTTTTACTTTCCCCTTTCCAGCTCCTGCACTGCTGTCGTCTTCTTTGGGTTTCTTATATGGCATGCATCTGCGACAAACTTTTACTACTTTGACTCCAGGAGTGAAGAGATGCTTGATTTTTTCTGGTGCATTCTCTTTCTTGTAACAGCTGTAGGATTTTGTGACAAGCTTGTCACACATGAAGCAAACTATACCACAAGTTCTTTCTGTAGAAGCTTGCCCATCTGGTGATGCTAAGAAAAAAAAAAGTAACAAGTTCAATCACCCACCATAGTCACTAGCAGTCATCCCATGTTTTGAAGCTTAAAAATGGCTGGGGAAAAACCTTTTACTAATGGTAACATTTTGTTAGTATGAGCAGTGAGTGTGGGTGGAGCAAGGTACTGTGAGGTAAAGGTGCACAAAAGCCAAAGGCTTAAATGGCCAGAGCTTATCCCAGTCTCGTTAGCATGAAGCATGCCTAGGAGTATTGCTACTCCCCCCCTGGATGGGATGCTAATTGATTGCAGGGTTAGCCCCCAGCAATATGTCACCAGTACTCATTTATACACCTGGGTGATGAGAGACAAAGTGGAGTAAAGTTCCTCATCTAAGGAAACGTGACAGACAAGGCTTGAACCCCAGACCTCCACATCTGGAGTTCGAGGTGTTTGTATTTTGGAAGAAAAATAGAAAGGGATGCCTCTCATAAAGGAGGGGCCACTAGCACCCCAGGACCCACCTAACTGCACCCCGGTGTCACTTACATCTGTCCCCTGTTACTGCAGTGATATGTTAGTCTTCTATGAAGCTCTTTTTTGTGTCATCCCACTGCATCAAACACAAACAGCTGCATAGGAGATTGATTATCCTTCCCAGACTACCCTTCCCTTAAAGCCCTTGGAAATGCTTTTGTTTGATTTCTCAAACAACATGAAGACAAAAAAAGAGCTGCATTATTAGGAGACTACTTTGTCCTTACTTCTCCTCATTTTCCCTTAAATATATGGTTACTCCTTCACCAGAAGCAAACCCAATACATTGGTATGGAATTGAAGAAAATTTTGAACAAGTATAGGATCATTATACTATTCTGGGAACTGCCCACCTACCCCTCCCATATGCCAACATTAAGACTTACTTTTGACTTAGTGCAAAATGTTGGCTTAGGGGAGGGGTAGGTGGGCAGTTCCCCAGAAACGTATAATATACATAAGAAGCCCATATCCCTAATAACAAAAACTGACCAAACTTTCATCAACTTAAGGTTCCTAAAGTTTGTTTAGACTTCTGGTCAAACTTATCATAAAAAAGTAGCGGTGGTCCATGGATGGGGTCCACGAAGGGGTGCAAATAGACCAAGGGTCCATGTTTTGTATACGTCCCAATACAAGAAAAACACCAAAAAAGAACCAGGCCAATATTCAGCCATCTTGACTGAAGAAGCTTAAACAGTAAAGGATTTGCTATATGGCCACCGAAGACAAAAGTTACTATTTTCTTGCAAGACCAAAGCTGAAAATCCTGAGTGGGCAAGATATAGCCATAGGAACACAGGAATAACTTCATCTTGCTTGCATATAACACCAGCCATATAATAGCCAACTGATACATCCTAATTATATACACCTTAGTTACACTACCCTTCATGTGTTATTGGCATTAACGCACAGGGGTGAGTGTGTGTGTGGGGAGGGTACTTCCCAGTAGTAGGCTAATGGTAATGTGCCGCTGGATCGGGTCGCATTTTCACAAATGGATTGGCTATTATGGGACTCCATTTTTATAAGAGTTACTAGAATTGGGTCGCACATTTTCAGGATATATAGGGATTTAAAAATAGAAAGATTTACACCACACTATTAAAGTTTAACAAATGTGTCAGTTCATTTCAGGATGACCTTGATAAAAGGCTTTATAAGGTAGATGCATAAACAGAAAGTGACTAAGTTGGGATTGCAAAAATTACTTTTTTCCCAAAGTGACTAAGATGCGGTCTATAATAATATGGCCACAGAATAGACTGTAATGGGGTAGGGGTTCTGAGAAACCAGCAGCACATACCCAGCAAAAACTAACCCAATTATCCCCCCTAGCTGCCTATTAATGGCCCTACCAAAACAGAGTAATTTGCGCCTTTGACTATGTTGATGTGGCATTTCCATTGACAGAGATAATTTTTTTTCCATTTACATGTTAAGGTTTTTGTTTGAGACAGGACAAGCTGTACAATAATAGGACAAGGTATACAATTAATGTATAAATTGTTGCTATACAATCATTGTTTAGCTTGGTGGCATAAAAAAAATTGTCTGCAATAGACTTCTTTATAAAAAAACTTGTATGTTTTGATTTCCCAAAGCAAGTGGCTCCTTTGTCCTTTCATAAATTATGTGTACATGTGCGTCTAATGATTATAATGGACAAAAGAAACAGTTCTGTTGAGTACTGTGACACGACCTGCATTGGGAAAACAAAACATAAAGCTACCGAGACATGTCTATTGCGCAAAAGTGGCGGTTATTGGAGGTTCAACTGTTTATCACTGACATTTTCAGAAGGGAGCTTACAATACTCACCGGTCTTTTTCTGTGGCTCTTGCTTGGTTGCATTTGTCTCTTTCACTGTCTTGCTTGTGGGAACTTTCATTTTGGTAATGGCTTGAGTCCTAAGTACTGATGGCACTTTCCCCTTTGGTGGTGGTAAAGCATAAGCATGATCTAAGAATGTCAGCTTATTGTTTATGGATTTAATCTCTGAATTTGAGGTGATGTTCACGGTTGACGGTAATGAAGAATTCTGATCCACTAGTTTCTTAAGATTTTCAGTCACATTAATAGGAAGGCTGTTTTCATTTTGCTCTCTGGCATCTGTGGCCACGACATTTTCTTTGCACTTCGAGTTGTCAACTTCTCCATAAATTGTAAAGCAGTTGGGTGTTGGGTTATACTTTCCACCGTGACGTTTCACCACAGTAACAATGCCAGTGTTCTTCACAGGAGCAGGTGTTGCTGAAGCCTGTTTGGCATTCTCTTTTTCCATTGCAAAGAGTTTAGGCATTGTTGCCTGGTTCCTGTTTGTGTTGCCATTCAACAAGAACCTCTCATCATCGGCCTCCATTTCATCTTCATCCGCCATTGTCTCATCACAAAGTAGATCATCGTACGGTCTCTTGAATCCTTTTTTTAGGTCCCTTACAATGTAATCCATAGCTTTGGTTGAACGGCCATGTGTAACTCCTAGGGGAGTCCGCAGATGAGTCATTTGGCTTGTCTTAGAGCGAAGCAGAATAAGGGCAAGGTTTTTCCGGCAGCGCTCTCGGGAACTAAAGCAAGTTTTGCATACCCTGATGCGGTCATTTTCTGGGGTAATAAAGTGTTTAAGATGTACTGGTGCGCTAGTGCGGTTGACAAAACGGTAGGATTTATACACTCTGAGTCCACAGACATCACACCTCATGGGCTGTTTCGGAACAACAGGGCCTGACAGAATAAATAAATGGTACAACCAGCATTATTAAATTTCCAAAACACAATACCATTTTTTTGTGACATTCCTGTGATGAGTAAACCTAAAAATCTACTCTTTATTTAATCCCATGGCTGGTCATGAGTGAAAGTGGGTGATTAAAGCGATCTTGTTTCTTAGTTAATCTTTCTCAGAGCTCACTCTAGTACTTTACTGTTGTTCAAAAATTGTACAGTCAAGCCCCGCAAATACAGACACTGACAGGGCAATTGAAATTGTCTGTATTAACCCTTTAAGTCCCAATATCCACAAGCAAATTGTCCAAACTGATCTCTATACATTTCTTTAAAGAATAAGTTAAGAGAGTTTGATAAAGGATCAAAGCATTTTCTCTATGGTGATCATTTAATTAATTCTCATAACCTAATCTCTTGACATTGTATGGATATTGTTAGGAGAAAATTGTTTAACGGGGTGTCTGTATAAATGGGTTGAATTTAGAGAAAATCTAGGAGCTTTCTTTCCCAAGAGAAAAAGCAAATGATCCATAATAATGAGGTGTCTATGATACGAATGTCCAGGGAACAGTGGATTCACATCATCATTTGACTGAAGAGCAGTAGACTTTAAGTCATCTCCAACTGGCTTCAGCAGTGCCCATGATGCCCTCTGAGAAATACTTATTGGGATTGATCCATTGCTGGACTTGACTTGGCTGAAAAAGAACTTCTGTGGTCTTCCTGTGGGTTATCTGTTTATTTATTTACCTTTCTTCACTTCTTCACCCTCATCGTCTGCTCCCTTTTGATTGGCTTGCTCATCCACATCACTGGCACTTTCCTGATCACTGACACAAGGTGATGCAGGACCTGATGATGGTGTAGGTGGCAACAGATATGGCCTGAAAGAATCAATGCAAGAAGCATTAAATTTTGAGGTCTATTGAATAAAAGAGAAAGACAGGGCACCCTGTCAACTGAATCACAGATGAAAGACAGACACACAGGACAAAGAACACCAATTTTCTCCTAAAAGTAACAATACCGATAACAACATCAAGAGAAAAGGTTATGAGAAATAAAAATAAAATGATCACGAAAGGGAAAATGCTTTGAACCTTTGTCAAATTCTCTCAACTAATTCTTTAGCGAGAAATGTACGGAGAATAGTCTGAAGAATCTGCTTGTAAATACTGTAGGCTTAAAGGATTAACAAAGTAGCCTTTTTGAAGGCAGACAGGTATACTCACAGCCCCTATGACAAAATCTCCTTTTAAATCTCTTCTTGCAAAAACCATTCCGATAAGCTACAAGCTCCACTGTCAGACAATAAAACCATTTTTCTCCATTCTAGGGGTTTTCATTTCCATTGTATTATGTTCTGCCAGAGACCTACCTTAAAAATTGAGACCTAACCCACAGATAGCAAATTTTAGACCAACAAGGTACAAAGAACTACATATCAATTGGAGAATAAAATACCCACATGGCTTGCAAAGACAAACAGTGTCACCATACCTCTGCCACAGTTAAAACTAAGTGAATATACAAAGATATTGTGTGACTTACTTTATAATGGAAATTGGTGGCCTTGGAGAAGGTGATGATACCTCCTAAAAAAAATTAACAGGGTTACATCTCCTAGGTAAAACAAGTAGCACTCCATTCACATGGGCTGGTAATTAAGGCAACAATGCATAGAGCTCATATGAGAATGGTCCTCGCAGTTGTGAACTTCAACGGGATTTTAGACTGTTAACAGTCCTCTATTTTTCCGTAACATAGTCGAGATAGAACGCTTTGCGTTACGGGCTGCCATCTTGCATGAGTGTCAAAACTACTTAAGGGGCGGGGTCGTTTGGGAGGAAGCAAGAAAAATAGAGGGACTGTAGTAACATCACCGCAGCTCGTGTTCAGGAGGCGTGACAGGAATTTCACGCCCTCAAGCATATGTGCAGCTGTACTATAACAAAGTTAGTCTATGAAGGGCAAAATGACCATATGTGTAAGATACTTTCACCTGGCATTTACCTCTTGTTTGTGTCAGAGCACTTTACACAAAAGTGCATAAACAAAATGACCCTTGAAAAGGTCACTGGCCTAACATTCTGTAAAATTAATTAAGCAAGCCTGATAAGGATGTGGTTTAGTGTATACAGGGCTTCCTGGTATTGAAAACCATTATTAGATCAAACTTCTATTTTCATCTGCTGGAATGGTTTTTATTTGGTCAGTGAGCACAAACTTTACTATGGTAAGTGGCAAAGGGTCAAGAACTGTGTGCATGAATCCCGTAAGATGTCAGTAAAAAAAAAGGGGGAGGTTGAAGGGACTGCTGAAAAGGGAAATAACTAGGGGTAAAAAATGGTAAATTGCATTGCAAGACCCCGGTTTCAAAATTCAAGACCTATCAAATACGCTTCTGAGATTTGGACATCAGGCCAAAATTTTCTGAGACCCATGTTTCTATACCCTTTTAACTGGAATGGGGAATGGAGAACAGGGGATGGGGCAGAATTAGATGTGATCAAAACAAAATAATATGTTGCCTTACTAGGGTAAATCTCTTTTCAATCTCATGTTGAGTTGTAAAACTTCTTTCAGAGTTGGTACTATTAAAGATTACTTTTCACAGCATGAACTGTCCAAACTTTCAAAGATGTGTCAGCTTCACACAATGAGAAATTTAACTTAACAATTAAATTTTACTCGTTAGTTTTGAAATAGTTCAAAGATCGCTGCACTTTCATCACGGATTAATAAAATTCAAGTATCTGTGTTTTTGTAAGACCGCCCCCAAATCAACAGTAGGGGACAAGTCGTCAACCAAGTTTATAGCACCACCTCCCCCAATTGTGCTGCGCAAAATAAAACTTGAAGACAATCGAGTAAGAGACGGTTCAACTGATTCTCCGGCACAAAATCTCTGTTTTGTCTAAACATCAACTCGTACCTTACCGTACGACAACTGACGCAAAAATTTCTCGAATATTACGCGTTGTTCTGAATATGCCTTAATTTTTTTTTTTGTAAAATTTTGTCATGCGCTCGTCTATATTAAGAAAAACGTCGAAGAAGACCTTAGTGTTTGGGTTATAAAGAGAAAAAAGTTCCAGTAATTGCTTCCTTTATCATGTATCAACAAAAGCGCACTCCAATGAGGCGGAAATTTATGTTGCTCTAGCTCTCAAAACTGAAAGTACAAGTGACGCACGGAAAGATATAGAGGCGCATTTTCGAAATTTAAAGCGTTGCGCTAGCCTGAAAACTGTCTCAGTGCGAGAGAAGGATGTTTCCAGTGAACGAATATTTCAATGATTGCCTGTAAATACTGATTTGTCTTCTGTGTTGAACGCAAGCAGCGCGCGCTCGTCTCGTTTTCTCATGGTGTCAAGCGCCCCGTCTGAAATGAATGCGTTCTAGAATTTTGCACAATGCGCGTCGAAAACTAGGTTTTCGTCAAGACGTCCAGTTTAAAGTCTTGCGCATACCGCCAAGACCAGATCTAGCCCTATGATAGCGAACGACAGTCGCCCTTATTCGCTTACAGAGGATTACAGCCGCAATACGCACTTTCAGACGGCTTCGACCTCACTTGCGAGTCTAAACAAGCTCTCGAAAGCTCTGGCACTAAATTGGAAAGTGCGCATTGAGAATATTACGCAGAAAATACGGAAACAAACCAAACCCATCGAATTACATCGAAAATCATCACATGAGAACAAAAATGCGACTAAACGATCGCTGGAAAGCCAAAATTCTGCCCGCAGCGAACGGTATCTATGCTCAACAAGGAACGCAAAACGGACACAGTTGCATGAGTATTTCGCATTTCTCAAAAGAAAATCTTCCTTTTTTCGACGCAAAACAATGCGTAAAAGTCTATTAAACTTGAGAAGATGTACATTTATGTAAAGTTTACGTGCGCAAATGAGTTAAAGCGAATATACTGGGACGAAAGCGAAAAGCGCGTCGACAACCGGTCAGCTTTTCATGTATGCGTAATTTCGCCCGTTCTGAACTTCGATTTGCGCGTTGCGCGATACTAAAAAGCTGCCAAGATGTACCTGTTTTTTCCGTACATTGGAATCTTTTTTTGCTCCAGTCTTTTCAACAAGCCTATCCACTATGCTCAAAAGGTTCCTATGAGAAAAACGAGAAAAAAAAACCCAAAAATGCAAGCGTCAAAAAGCGACGTCACGAAAATGAGACACGGAAACTAAAGCGGAAAGTCCGCCAGTGAACAACGACTACTTACCGCTTCTTCTTTGTGTTGTCGAGCGCCATTTTTACGTTGTAATTTAGCACCGCCGAACTTTCAAGATTCAACATTTAGCGGACTTTCACGGAAGGGTGTTGGTGAGGGAACTGAGAAAGAATATATCCAACGCAAAAACCAAATGAGATTTGCATAAAATTTACAAGTTAGCGCGCCCGGTGTGATCCCAGAGTTCTTTGCGGTGGCTTAGAAAAATTATGGGCTGGTTGGGAAATATCTATTTTTAGAATTCAGTGCTATGATGAGGTAATGTTTTGGATTGCATTTTTGACCCTGTGAGTTAGGTCCTTCTAACACTTTTTTGGGAATTATTCAAAGCTCTGTTGCGCAAAAACATTGAATTTAAAGACATAAGAGACTCAGAAATCAAAGGACAATCATTTTCATTGGTAGCGCATCAGTTCAAAGATGAAGCGAAGCTTCAAACGCCGTTTCAGTTTGATAAAATAGAATTGCCGTACGAAACAAGTGAGCATTTTATAAACAGAGATTGAAGACTCTTAGCTCCTGCTCCTGGATGTGTCGACGTTTTCCCTAATTCAGTCACATCTTCTCTTCACTAACCCCTATAAGGTAGTTTAAAAAATTCTGATCTGCTTGAATCAGTTTCTGACGGCAATCATAAACCGCTGTTACATGCGCGGAAACCCAGACAAACTAAAAACTTCAAACTTCAACTTTCTTTGGTAATAACGGTTTTACAATCGACTGGCCCCGTAAAATAGCCATTGTTAATCTAGACGGCCCAGTTAAAAGAAGAAAAAAATGAAGGGAAGAAAATATTTTAAGTTACAATAATTCTTATTTCTATCAGCATAGTTTTATTATAACTATTACAACTGAGGGGAACGAAAAGGAATTGATGGAGAGTTGGAAGGCATATAAGCTATACACAAGTGTGCACACGGCATCATAACAGCATTTGGCGATTAGCCTTTTCCAGGCTATCAGATAGCAGGGAAAACGCGTCAGTGAAAAGCACGAAAAAATATCGCAGGCCACTGTGAGGAGATATTGTATCTGATTTCCTCCTTAAAACATTCCTGTGGCGGATCCAGGGAAGTAGGAGGGCAGGTTGGTATGGATCCAAGATCCATCAGACCAGAAAAAATGTTTAGTAATTTAATGATTATTTGGATTTGAAGCTCAGTTAAAAATAGAATCTCCAGTTTGAGGCTAGCGTTCACACTATATCGAATAGCTTTTAATTTGGAGCCGCCATAAAAAGCTATATATCCGGTATAATATGAACACCTATCCGATATGTGACTCTCCACTTAAAGGCCGATACACACGAGGGATTGTGCTCCCGGAGCATGCTCCAGGGGCACGCTCCGGGAGCAAAGCTCCTCCGTGTGTACCAACGATTTCACTATGGGTATACTTCATCCTCGGGAGCAGAATTTCCACCCCGCAAAATGCTCCACGATATTTAACAGGTTAAATATTTGGGAGCAAGCTCCCGGGGCAAATTGAGCGAACTTAAGTTCGGCCTTAAGAGATCGGCGAGACGAAGCCTCCTTTCGTTACAGAAATCGCCGCGAAATAGCCGTTCATTAAGTGTGAACAGATGTTCCCATCCAGTTAACCTGCGATCAGGCGGTAAGGTTTTCGCGTCGGCGCAAAACCTATCCAGCTATCTATATAGCCTGATTTACAATTGCTATATTTCCAAATATATTACAAAAATAGAAAAATTACCCACCCACTAAAAACTACTACAACTAAACTACTTATTGTTTCAATGCTGTCCAAAAGCAGTCAACAGGCACGCATTGCGCAGCTGGCGTTAGTTATCGATACTATAGCAAAAAATGAATTATGGCTTATCGCACGCTCTCTAATTGACAATTCGACTTGCCAGCTTTAAGACAAGGTTATTACATCGCATTCAACTTGTTTTGCACACCCCTGTTTTCACTCGGGCTTCAAACCTATCTTTTTCGTTTTTAGTGAGGAGCTTCAGAAATGTTCACAGCCACTCGATGATTACATACCAATTGTAAAAAATTCCAACGGAGGGCACTTGTGGGCTCATCCCAATTTTTCAAAAGCCGATTAACACTAAACCGGGGTTCAATCCTCTCCGAGTTTCTTTTAGTCTTTTGTTCTAAAGTATTTCCCTGGATAATTTTTTATTTTCTTTTCAGAGATTCCAGTCATTAAGATGCAAATAAAGTCTTGTTAATAGCCGGCTGCGCGCGCAGAGAAAGGTAGCTTAATTTACCTGGTACTTTGTTGCCACAATTATCATGTAACTAATAGTCTACTGATCAGTGCGATATTTTAAGGCCACAGTCGGTCAGTTTAACTAGGCCAACTATGACTTGGTGCACGATGAGGCATAGTTACAGCTGCGACCACTTGTAGGCTTGGAGAACTGATAACAGGTCTGTTGTTTTGCCGATTCAAATTTTCCTTCATTTATATTCCAGTTTACAATCTTTTAGATGTGCAAAAATTGCTCCTACTGAGAAGCAAATTAGCAGCTAAACGCCACATGTTTGGAAAAT